GTGTGTCGTAAAAATGGGAAAATTACAACAACAAAAAAATAGAAAAAAAAAAAGGATAATAAAAGCGAGCAATGTAACGTATATAGTCTCGTTGCCTTTATTCCGTAGCCGCCCTGTCACACATGGTCATTTTAACGCTATTTTGGCCATTCTCTTTGTACCGCGTGTTGTGCTACTATTTATTTGATGCAAATAACGCGTGCGACACAGTCTGAAACGCGTTACTTAGCCATAGTTCTAGATCTATTTAGCATTTCATGAACTCTTAAGCTCTTTCGCTCTTTAGGTCGTAATACCAAATGGTTATCCACAGGCCTTAACCTGATGGTCTGTTCTTATCGAGGTTTCTTTGTTCGGTTTCAAGGTCCATCAAGTTCTTTACTGCGTGTGAATAGATCCTGGAGCTGCTGAGCAAATACTAGCAGCTTGTCGATCCAGCTAACATTTACCGTTCTCTTTAATAAATATGCAAAACTGAATTTCTCAGTCTCATGTAGAGTCCAGCGACCACTCTGGATAAACTATCGATAGCTAGCTGTTGGCCATATAGTGTATATTGACTAATTTCAAATGTCATTTGCTCCTTTTTTATTTTCTCAGAGTATGCGTGTGTCATTAATTCACTCAATGACATCATCTTTCACCTAATGTCATTTTTTAGGTTACCCTGTGGACAGGCGATGGACTTACTTTGTGTACAAGTGGTTTTCCGCCAGAAGTGTTGTTCGACGTAATCGATACAAGTAATCTCAGCGATCACATTGGTTTGTTGAATGTCCTCGTCTGCTGTTCCCCAAGGTTAAAGGTGTAAGTCTTTTTTTTTAGTTCTCATTCCCATCGTTATTGTTGTCGTGACAATTGTTAAGTTTGTTGAGGATGAGGAGAACTCCTTTAATTCTTGTTATCTAATCGTCTCTCCTGCTGTTGTGTTTTCTGATCGTCGGCATCCAGGCTTCTGAGATTGCAATTCTCCATCGACAGGGAGAATGCAGCCGAAACGTCGCGATCCACATCTCAAGTGACCTCATCGTGAGACAAACGATTACATTTCTCTTCTAAAAGAATTTGTTTATAATGCTGATAATGTTCTTATAATGTTTATAAGAAGTTGTTTATAATGCTGATACGCAAGGAGTATCCAGAAACCTGAGTAGTTTCTGTTGTGATCATTTTAATGTTCATATTCAGGCCAAATGTTTCCCTGCTGTTCACATCAAGCATGTTATGGAGCCATGCATGGGACAGTATAGAGGAGTATTACAACAAATGTGTTGGTGTTCCGTTGCAACTTCTCCCAACAGTTCTCGGTTTGAAGCTGGCTATTGATCTCGAATTGGGAAGCAAGTATGCTAAGCTATTGAATAAACATAACATTCAGGTGCAGTCTGCCGGACAAGTTGTCCGGCCATGCATATCAAATGTCAGTGCTGACATGTTTGACTGAGGCAGCTTTGACGCCATCTCTGGAAATATTTAAGGCTCAGCATATTGTAATATGAATTCTTTTCAACGAGCATCTCATTCTAAATCCTGGTTAACTCTTCCTCCTGATAAAACGTTAAACCTTAAAACGTTAAATGCTGCCGATGCAGTTTTCCTAAATTTTCTGTTTTCAATACCCATCCAAAAAAAATGTTGCTATGATTTTTATCGCGCAGAGCATTCACAACACATTTTCATAGTCGAAGACCTTCTGAGTCTATCCATTCTGTCGGCTTGCTGATTATGTCCGCTATACTACGTGACTTTAACATTTTTTTGTTTATTTGTTGTCCTTGTGGTTGCCTTGTGCTTTGTTTTGTTCGGTGTAGAAAACTTCCGGACAAATTGGACTCTACTGAGGAGACTCTTTGCTGGGTGAAGGCGGACCCTAAAAGGACTTTATTGACTATAGGTTAGTTATGGCCTACTAGAGACAACGTTTTCACGTAGCTCCGGTCACTGAGCGAGTACCTCAGGGGGATAAAAAAAAATCGTTGAAATCGCCAAAAATATGCTGGGAGATGGTTTGTGGGGTGGGGGGGGGATTAGGGTGGGAAATTGTGGTTGAATCGGAGTCCTAACTAGGAAGAATGGAGATATTCTGAGTCGCTTCGCTCTAAGAGCCGAAACAAGTTCCAGCTTGTCTGCAGGTGCATGTTACTGTGGCAAGTTAACTTCATCTTGTGACTCACGAAATTTTCAAAAGTTTTTGCAATTTCAGATAAAGCCACTGACGTTGTCCAAGCGCTACTGCGTCTCACAGAGCGTTGCTTCAATCTAGCGAATGAGATCATTCATTACACTGGCGTCACTTCACCTTCGCCTCTGACCTTGCTTCGAATTATACATCAGGCACAACCACTCTTCAAGGGAGGAGGTCATATCAATTTTAAAGTTAGCTGTTAGCCTGCAGCGTATGCATGTTCATGCTGTTCGAGCACTAAAAAGCGGATTGATCAGTCCTGCTGTACAAAGGAAACCCTAAAAAAAACAACTCGAGTTCCAACTTAATTCTCTCAGTGAGTTGGCACGTAGAGTGATAAAGCTCGCTCTGCAAGGAAAACTGCTTGCACTGCCGGAAAGTTTACATATTTCTAATAAACCAATTGTTCCATAATTATTTTCTAAAATTGTTTGAATCATTTCTATTAAGATTATCTTAATTGTAATCAACATCGCCCGGCCTTGGTTTTTAACATAACAAGAATTGAGGACCTTCCTCAATTCATAGGCTGTTCCTAATATACTGCACTTTGTGTTCACAAGTTTTTAGGTGAGTAAGGGAAGATAAATTGCCCTCACATTTTATCTACATTTGTCTCAACAACAGAGAACGGACAGAGTAAATCTGAACAATTTTGTATTGGGAAATTCAAGGGGAAGAAGAATGGATGTAATCTCCTAGTTTTATGGGAAGGAAATATTGACGAGCAATTTGGGTTGGTTATTTGCGTTTTAGCCGCCAAGATAATTGACGTTCTTGAACAAGAGCTACCAGCTGAATTTAAGAGGAAGTACGGACTATCCTGGAGTTTGATAAAGGCGTCGTTGGGGAGAAAACCAGGTAAGGACTTAGTGACGGTTTAGTAACGACACTGAACTATCAAGATTACAAGCGATAACATTCTTCTTTTGCATCCATGCGCTTGCAAGAAAACTGCGTGATCTACTCGATA